TGTATCTCTTCATATATGGTCTGCCTTGGCTACATGCTAGACTTTTATAGGGGGTTGTGCACTGTTCCAGTTAATCCCCTCTATCTGCATGCACACATGGATGTACACACACACACACTCTCCATCTTGCAACAGAGAATTTTGATTCAAATCAAGATGCTTTTTTGTTATATGAATTATCCAGTCATTTCCTGGCCTTTGTTTTTGGACCTAATTCCTACAGACAGTGTGACAGTTTCTTATTCCAGGAATATCCATTTCTATACCGAGTGATGTTCTCTCCTTTATCTTTCTCTTGCAGCCGTGCATGCCACCTATTAGGGTTAAGGGTACAAGATCATGCAAACACAAGAACTAGCTGCATCCCTCACCATGCACACCAAAGCATTATGGGACTCTTGTTCAGCTTAGTATAATGACCCTTTTTAAAACCACTATAAGCACTTACATATTTTGTCCATTGTCCATACAAGTATTCATATAACTTGTTTTAGCTCATATTACCTTTATCCAACGGGCTCTGTTTCTTTGAGGGGCAAGTTGCCTCTATTTACTGAGAGGTACAAGAGCTCAGAAAAAAGCTCCTATGAGGTACTGACTCGCTGTAAATTCTCCCCCTAGCCACCATATAGCCATCCCCTTTAAACTTTGGATCTGTGTTCTTAGAATAGTGGTTTGCAACCTTTTTTGACTCAAGGCACCTTTCAGAAAATGCCAGCTCTCTGCTTTCACTTTTTTGATTATAGAAAAAATAATAGAGCAGTTCTGTTGGAAAAAATAATAGAGCAGTTCTGTTGCAAAGAACTCCAAAAGACCACAGCAGGTCAGAATGTTTTTGGCACTATGGATTCATACGGGAAATCTCCCATATGGGAAGCTTGAGAGAGTGCAGAGGAAGAGCCACGCGCATGATGAAGTCAGGAAAACAGACCTTAGGATGAGAGGCTGCAAGCCATGGGACTCTTCAGCCTGGAAAAGCGCAGGCTCAGGGGTGATCTCGTGGCCACCTATAAGTTTATCAGGGGTGTTCACCAGGATCTGGGGGAACGTCTGTTCACCAAAGCGCCGCCAAGGGATGACAAGGTCGAATGGTCACCAACTCCTCCATGACCATTTCAGGCTGGACATAAGAAAGAACTTCTTTACTGTCCAAGCCCCCAAGGTCTGGAATAGCCTGCCACGGGAGCTGGTTCAAGCACCTACATTGAACACCGTCAAGAGACATTTAGATGTTTATCTTGCTGGGATCCTATGACCCCTGCTGACTTCCTGCTCCTGGGGCAGGGGGCTGGACTTGATGATCTTCCAAGGTCCCTTCCAGCCCTGGTGTCTATGAAATCTATGAAATCTCTGATTGTAATAACTGATTTTTAGCTTGTGAATTGTGTAGGACTAATACATGCCCATGTCAGGTAGGGAGTTGCAGCATAGCACCCTTAAAAGAATCTCATGGCAACCGAAGGTGTCGTGGCAGCCTGGCTGAGAATCACTGGCTTAGAGACACGTGCTTTCATGTCTCAGGATGGACCCCTTGACCCTTTCTATGCAATATGGCAGGGAGCTTGTGGAATAATACTTGGAGTAGTTCATACATGTCAAATGGTAAAACTCCTGCATGAATACGTGGTATCAAGAGAATTGCAGGGCATCTGGGCTCTTTTTACTTATTTCAAATAAGTGACAGTCTTTAGGGAGATTACATTGTTTTTGTGGTAGAGCTCACAAAATACTGCTTTCAGAAGGAGCGCTGGGTAGAGTAAATAAGGACCTGACTTCCAACAATTGTTTTAAAATGTGTTAACATATATTGAAGTCTTGAACTTGCAGCGAGGAAGGGTCTTTTACACTTAATTTGTACTATCATTTTCCATTTTATAAAGGCACTTCAGTGTGTGTGTGTGTCTGTGTGTGTGCGTGTGGCTTTTCTCCCGGATAAAACAGTGCAGAAGGCAAGGCAAGGTGGCATCTTGGAGATTAATTGGTTCAGAGGGGCATGAGCTTGTATAGTCGACAGCCTGCTTTGTCAGATGCTAAACCAGAGCAGTTTCCTCTTAGTGAACACTAGATGGCTGCCTAACAAATGACTTGCAAGATTTTGGTTTGAGAAACGGTAGGAACTGCCATCTCCGCTTAGTTTTCTAATGTTCATTTTCTTATGTAGCTGGAGGGAGAAAACTGAACTAATCTCTATTTAAGAGAAATGAAAGAAGTATGAGATGGTGTAAGCCATGGCTGCTGGCAAGGTAGGAATGGGAGCTATTCTTGTGTGCATCCTGATCGCTCAGTTAATTGACAGGAAACATGCTGTAAATACGCACCCTGACTTGCCTTGTAGTAACTTGTTTGTGTTCATATCCTTAGACCTTGATCGTGAGAGTACTTAAGCTCGTGCTTATCTTTATTGGTGCGCATAGTTATTTTGAGGGTCTGTTCCATGTGGGTAAAGTTAGTCATGCCTAGGTGTTTTTACTGGGTCGCTAATTTGCCATGTCTCATGTCTCTTTGTGGCTTCCAGAGCATTTTCTAATATGCTGGCACTGATCACATGTTCCTCTTGTAACAAAAGTAAGTAGCATAGCGTGGCCTTCAACAAGTAGCTGCTTTGTAAAATTAGGAAGAGGTTGCAATACTAATCCTTGGCTCATATTTAATGTGTGCATGTGTAGGTCTTAAGATCCTATACAGCAGACGCACGCATTGTTCTCCCAGGTGGGGAAACTTGAGATACAGGAAGTGAAAGTGACTCGCCCAGGAGCTGTTAGAGGAATTGAATCCAGGTCTCCCAACCCCATTAAGAACTAGTGCCGTAGGGGACTGTCTGGAAGGGAGGGGAAAGTGGGGAGGAGGAGCAGCACAGAGCTGGATCCATTGTGTTTACAACTTCATGGCATTCCTCAGGCAAGAGAAATCCCAGCCACGTTGGATCGACTTCCCCTTTCTGCTGTGACTGGTACAGCAATGGTGGAGCAATGGTCCTGAATGTGTGCTAAGGGATCCACGTCTGTGGGATTCAGGAGGGCTCCTCTTAGTCACAGCTTATCCCTTACTGGCAATTTTATTTATTGCCTTGTCCCTATGTCTTGAGAGCTTCACAGCATTAACAGACTGAGGCTTTTAATACCCCTGTTGCGTAGGGAAGAACAGCTCTCATCTGCCCAGTGCTGTAGGTTTAAGACAGGTGAATGCAATAGGGCTATCTGTGTTCAGCTCTAAAATGTTTGGAGCCTGCACAGATTCCCCTGCCTGCCTCCCCCACCATGGAAAAAGTTTGGTATGAAGTAGCTATAGGGTGGGGTGGCAACACGCTGCATTTATTAGGTGTATTACTTGTAATTGAAACTGTTAAATCCTTTGCCCAGTATTTGGATGAAGGATTTGAAGCCCTGAACCACTTTCTTGGCAATTATGAGTAACTAAGGTATCTGTTCTGTCATCAGTATCTAATAATTAGCTCTGCCTACACTCATGGGTAACACAAGGTGCATCCACACATGCGTTTTACTGCAGCGTAGACTAATTAGTTCCGCAGTAAAGCATCACCATCTACATGTGCACTGGCGTTAGGGCACAGTAAACTAATTAACTCTGCCATAAGATAGTACCGTCAGGACAGTACTGTCTTACGGTAGAGTAATTTACTGTGCTGAAATGCATGTGTAGATGCTGACTGGGACCATAAATTGTGCCTGGTCAGCCCAGCCAGCTGGGGGCCTGCTCCAGCCTGACTCAAATTGCTGCTGTCCCAGGTACACATGTAGATGCTGCACCCAGAAGCAGTTTATTCCAGCTCGAACTGCTCTGGAGTTTATTGCTTTGCATTAATTGCGCATGTAGATGCACCCACAGGGAAGCTAGCATTTAGGTTAGCCTAACTCTATGGACTACAGCCACCCCAAAATTCCCCATAGCCCACCCTTGCAGTGCCACTGCCGCCTGCCCCGAGTGCAGCCCTGGCCTAGTCCCCTGCTGGGAAGAGGCCGGCGCAGCCCGCCCTTGCCCCCCACAGGGGTGCACACATGGTGGGGAGCCCCTCTCCCCCGCAGTCCCCAGATGAGCTGCCTGCAGCTCTGCCCTGTGCCATGCCCCGGCTGGGCAGCATCTGCCTCAGCCCCACTTCCTCCCTCACCGTGGGGGCTTTGATATGTCCCCCCCATACCCCTTCCCTCCCCCCTGCCCCTTCACATACTTACCAGCCAGACACTGCTCTCCATGCTGCTGGGCTTTATTCCTGGGCGCGTGCATGTTGCGGCCGCACTCATGCACATAATATTTTATTTATCAGTGACATTATCAGCTACACTGGCCAAAAAAAGCTGATTGCCAATAATGTCAATTTTCCTTTTATCAGTGCCGATACTATATGGACCAATATATCAGTGCACCTCTATTGCTTACCTCTGACATGGGGTGGGCACTGGAGTGGAGGATTGTCTAGGCAGGGACAAGCCTAAGCCTAGCTTATCTGCTTACATCCTCACACCTCATTTATCTCCTCACACCTTATGGCATCTTTCAAAGGATCTGATGTCACCCCAGGGTACCCTGGCATCCTGGTTGAGAATCACTGGTCTAGGCTAAACCTAGTGTTCAGGTGAATCCTGCAGTAAAGATATACTCTTAGAGACCCCATGTTTCTCACTTACTTTAGATTGTCTTTGATCATTTTCTCTAATGAAGCTAGTTGGCAAAATGTAGGTAAGTATGGCTTAGTAATTTACCTAGTAATGCAGAAAAGCGTGTTTGCTTTTCCTTGTGTGCCATGTGATAGTCATGAGGGGGAATGGATTTAGAAGATCTTGGGTGGAGTTTTCAAAATGCCCAAGTGACTGGGGTGTACCAGTCCTACTGGGAGTCATTGGACTTGTATACCTAAGTCATCTGTGTCTTTTGAAAATACCATTTCAGACTTTGTCCACTTGTATATTTTGTAACTCTTGACTTGGGCTCTTTCATGAAAATGGTCTGTTGATTAACTTCTGCTTTTTTTTTCTGCTGTCCAGAGAAGTAAGAGACAGATTGAAGAACCAAGTGGCTGTAATGAAGAAGAAATTCCCAGATTTCAAACCAGGCCTTGCAATTTTGCAGGTATTTACTTTGTTTGAGAAACTAGCCTAGAATCTTCCTTCCCTTTGGCATTAATTGTAAGACCTTTGGAACACTTTGTGCCTTCACCAAAACTGCCCTGCAAAATGGCAGTTTTAAAAACAAATGAAACTAAATAAAATGTACTGAAGTCAGTGTGGGATTTCAACACGGCTATGTGATATTTGTCAATCTTTTGGCACTCAAGGAAAGTCTTTTTCTCCTCCAACTTTTCTCATCCCATTCAGTAGGATAGATTTCTTATTAATAATCCCCTTTTCTAAGCACAGAAGCCCTTTAAAGCACAGACTACTGCACAATCCCTATATTAGCTATTATAGATGAACCATATGACCCTCAGCATATATATCAGTTCCCTTAATTCTCACAGACATGGAACATTGCATCAGAAATCAACTTGGTAGCGTGTGATTTATGTGGGTGATCTGTTGGGTGGTTGAGAATGTGAAAGAGAACTGAACGCAGAAAATGCTTAGGTGCAGCAAAAGGAACAAAGCTCTACTGATTGCAGACTATTTTTAAGATAGCTTTCATCCAAACACAAGAACCACCCTCTAGCACAAATGAGGATGTTTGAATTGGTGTTTGCAAAATTGGGTCTGTTTTCTAGGATGCGGTATTTTCTCTCTGCAGCTCTGAGAATAGAAGCTGTCAGGTCAGAAGCCTTTCTCAGTCTCAGGTCTACTAGCTGTAACAAGGGGCTGTCATGTCACTTTGTAGACACAAAGAATTGGTAGGTTTTACAGAAATGGCCTCTGTCTGTCCTTTTTACCACTGAGCTTCTGAATGGCTGTCTCTTGCTGTTTGCCTTGTAATTCTATTGGGCAGCTGCAGAATGCTCTCTTCTTATTCCAAGGACAAAGCAGGGATCTAATATGTGTTTATCCTTGAAGAAATACAGTCCCCTCTTTACAGGTCTTGAATTAGCCTCAAGGGTCTCCTCTCTACAGAAGCCTCATGCTCAGACTGTTAGAAAGAAGGGAAAGCTTTTTATTTAAAAAAGCTTGAGAGCAAAGTTTCAATGCTTGTCAAGGAGGCATAGCTGGTCACCCTAGGAATGGAAGTCATCTGTCTTTTGAACAACTCCATCCCCAAAACGATTAGTTCAATCTTCCACCTCCCCGCCCTGTGCGCTTTGATCTGGATTGCTACAGAATAATTCATGCTCCATGGCCCAGTCAGTCTTTGGCCAAGTTAGATATGTCTTCAATTGCCTCCTGAGCCAGAAAGGGTGTACTGCTGAAAAATAAACCCTGTCTACTCGCACCTGCTTTGCCCAGGCCCAGCCATGCAAATCTATGGAATGGATGCCTCATTACTACCTAGGCACTGGGTTCAGGCTCTCTGACTGCCAGGCTGCATGCTTGGGGCCACAACAAGATGTCTCCTGAAAAAGCTTTTGGACCCAGGCATACATGGATCAGGTGCAGACTTAATAATTGGTCATATGCCCAGTCTTGCTCAGGAGGTGGTGTAGACCTGTAACAGTTCAGGGACAGAAACACCTTACTGAGTTGCATAGCTCCACCTACCCACCTTCCATGCAGTGGGATGAAGCAATGCTACCCCTGCAAGCTTTAAGGCTTCATGAGTTAATCTTGGACTTTGCACTGAAGTTTGAACATTCTTTTTCCATGCCAAAAACAGGCCTTTAACATGTCACTACTTTTTCCAGATCTGTCTCCACACTTTCTTCCATTCTTGCCCCTACACATAGAAAAGCCCTTCATGAGCTGGCCTGCAGACTGCTTTGCCCAGTCAGTTCTGTCTGAAAACCAGCTTCTGCTGTACTTCTTGTACTACTTGTCAGGGAACTAATAATGGCTGGAGAGGGATAGCTTATACACAGAGACCAAGAAAAATCAGTCATGTGCCAGTCAGCACATTTCCTCTTACTGCTTGCTGCTGCCTTAGATTGCAAGCCCTTCAGAGTAGACACTGTATCTTTGTAGTGTCCATTATAGAGCTCCGACATATTTGGGCTGCTAATACAGTTAGTGTGAATTGCTTATCGCAGCATTTGGGGAGGGGGAACCAGAGTTAACCAGCTCTACAGTCACTGGGGAGCAGTGTCTCTGATGCTCCACATAGTACTTGCTGGGGTCTTGCCAGGAATCCTCACTGCTCTTTTCATACAGGAATCCTTCTTTGTCACGTTAGACAGGAGAATTCAAAATACCTTCTGAAATCTGCTGGTGTTGTAACAACTGGATAAGGCCAAGAATTGTAAGCTTTTGTCTTGCTTCCACTTTCTCTTACAGCAGTTTATGCTCCACTTGCTGCTTTGCAGCACAGGTTGTGTTGGAAAACAATGTAACTAGAAATATTCAAAGGCAAGAGTGTCGGTTAGGTGCCTTGCTGACACTTGGGCCTTTTGAAAAGCTCCTTCATAAATAATGACTCCTCTGTGCATATAATTAGGTTTCTTCTATATCAAATATTCCCAGCTTGCCTCAAAGCCTCAGTCAAAGGACTGGTTGCTATTCATGTGCAATGGGATAAATTCAGACCTGAAGATATTACTGAACTTACACACTTCATCCTCACACACAACTGAAGTTTCAATAACCAACACTTCCTCTAGACCATGGGCAAAGCTGCGGGCACCAAAATGGCCCAACAATATGCCAACCTTTTTACGGCCCACCTGGAAGAAGTATTCCTCAAGTACTGCACCATCAAACCCATGCTGTACCTAAGATATATAGATGACATCTTCATCACTAGAACTGAAAACCTGCAGTCTCTGATTTCCATCACAAATTAAATAATTATTACCTCTCCATCAGACTATCTTTTGAATACTCCAGCACCAACATTTCTTTTTTAGACAGTCTGATCAATATCCAGAATGGTAAAATACAAATCACCATATAAAAGAAACCCATGGACCAACATACATACAAACCCACAGACTACACAGAACTAGCAATCACCCTAAACACACCAGGAAAGCTGTAATATACAGCTAAGCCCTCTGATACCACCAAATTTGCACTGAGGAGAATACCTATAATCATCACCTCGCAAATCTCAAAAGGGCTTTCACCCAACAAGGACACTTTTCCAGAGATATAGATCGTACTTTTGAAAGAGCCACCTTGCTCTCGCAATTGATGCAGTGCAAAAAGAAAATCCCCATGAATCTCACACCATTAGTTATGACATAACATCCCTCCCTGAAACCTATATGGAAAATCCTTAAACAATTGCAACCCATACTAGAAGAAGACCCAATTTTTAAAGAGTCTTTCCAAAACCACTTATCCTAGCCTTTAAACAAGCACTGAACCTCATCACCAGAAGCAAACTTCCTGTGGTCCAAAGCACACCAAATGGATCTAGACCATGCCAGGATGAAAAATGTAAAACCTACCAACACATCTCCGCCACACCCAGAATAGCCACACTCCACAACAGAACCATCTCCATTCCTGGTTCGTACACCTGCACCTCCAAATGTGTAATACGTCTCATCCAGTGCACTAAACGCCCTGATGGAAAATACATAGGAGAAACCAAACAACAACTGCAAACCAGAATGAACGCACACCAAAAATCTATCAAAGACAAAAACACCCAACTACCTGTGGGTGCACACTTCTCACAAGACACCCAGTCTCTCAGTTCTAATCCACAAAGGGAATTTACAAAACACCTTTCACAAACAAGCCTACAAACTTCATTTCATATATCTACTGGTTACAAAAAGTCATGGACTATATATAGACATTGGATTTGTGGCATATTATAATCTGCCTAACATTTGGTAACCCCAGGTATCCTGTCTGCATTTTACCAGCTACATTCTAATACCCGGTCAACATTCCCCCTTATCCCCTGTACCTGTCTCGCACCTGTCTGATCCTCACTGACACGATTTGCATTGTCACAGACATGCGTTATGCATATTGGCTTCTATTCCACCCAGGAAAACACTAAAAACCAACAGACTCTCCCTGTGCCTGAAGAAGGGCATTTGTGCCTGAAAGCTTGCAAAGAACAATATTTCCAACTATTTAGTTGGTCTAATAAAAGATATCACATCTACCCAAAGAACCTTGTCTGCCTAGACCAACACAGCTACAACCAACAACCCTAGGATTAGGTCTAATATGGATTACACCCTCAACCTCTGCCATTAACAGGGAAGTCCAGATTCCTGAGCTATTCTTGCCAACACTAGAAGCTAGGTCAAGGATATTTAGATGCATTAGTGGGTTTTGCATACCAGTAGCCATGCAAGGGATTTCCTTATCTAGGGTGACATCATCAGTTGGGTAATGACTGTAAGTTTCATGCTGTGCGTGGCATGAGCAGGTGAGCATGTCACCATAAGGCGAAAGGGGCAGGGCTTTTCTATGCATCGTTTTTTCTGCATTAACAGCCATATATGTGTTTTTTATCCCACAAAAAGTGAAAACTCAGTTGCTCTAATTTTATGCCTCTTTTATTGACCACTAACCTACTGCAGTTTGGCTCTCATTTACTATGAGAGCATGCCTATAAGAGCAGCTTCCAAAGGGTGGCTGAAGCACTGCATCTACTCTTATTTGTCTGTCCCTGTGCCTTGTTCTACGCTGAACTGGGGAAGAAGCTAAGAATCTGAGTTTAGGTCAGTTGTGACAGGTTGTGGTCATCATGAGTCTTCTTCCCTACCTGCTCCTATTTTGGTAGAAATCTGACACCTGTACCGCTCTCTACTTTCTATAAGATGCACCTTCACTGCTGGGAGATGGTTAGGTCATGCTGTCCCTGTACAAGGCCTTTAGGTGACTGACCATTCCTTCGTTCGAGTTCAAGTTTGATCCCCTCTTGCCCTACTCCCCAGTGTGACTTGTCTCCTTCTTTTTCCCCCTATAGGTTGGGAATCGGGATGATTCGAATCTCTACATCAGTATGAAACTGAAGGCTGCTGCTGAGGTAATTCTAAGACGACCAGCGTGTTTTCTTCTTGGGTATTTTGCTGCCCGCTCAGCACAGCAGATACTTGAATATAAAGAAAACAGTAACCAAATAGCTCTGTTTGGCCCCGTTTGTGCTGGTGAACTTAGTACTGGTCTGGCTCCTGTGATACACCACTATAACCCCATCATGCAGGTGTGCCACACTGTGAACTGGTGTGGCTTACTCCAGTGATGTCAGTGCAATCATGTTGGTGCAGCGATTCCAATGTACACAGGCTCTTAGTTTCTCTGGGTCCACGCAGCCTTCTGGTTCCCTCCCTCTTCCCCAGCTAACTCCTGTACATCTGTTTTCCCTTTTAGAAGAACTTGCCTTGTTTTGGCTCATCACTCTGCAGCCTCTGAAATGCCTTATTGCCCACTGCCACGTAGCCCCTGCTGCCCAGGGCAATGGCTGGTATTGCGTTTCTCTCCAGTAGCATTTCTGAGCAGCATGTTCTCTATCAGTTCTCCTATCTCAGCTTCTGTCAGGAGAAGAGGTTGCCCCTATTTACTGACTTATGGAATGGAATAAGAAAGCAGCTAAAGAATCTTTACTGGGAAGGTACTAATCGGATCTCCTCTCTAGCTTGTATTCATTGGAGTAGCAGTCTGTCTGCTAGATCTGGTGCAAGCACGTACTCTGGACTCAAATGGCGTTCGGATACTTATCTTGTGGGGGTCATTTGACCCCAGCAGACTTCCTGCCTATGGCGGGGGGGCTGGACTCAATGATTTTGTGAGGTCCCTTCCAGCCCTTAACGTCTATGAATCTATGAACCTAGAGCACGTGCTCATTTCTATTGAAAAGGATGGGCTGGAATGAGAGAGTGAACAAGCCATTTTTTATATGTTCCTCTCCATGTCCTTTAAAACCAAAATAACTTTTGAATATTTTCATTTGCAGATTGGAATCGATGCCAATCATATTAAGCTGCCAAACACAGCAACAGAAGCTGAGGTAAGTGACTTAGTCAGTTAGTTAAGAAGCCCTTCATTCTGGAGTTTAAAACAGTTGTTTGCATGTGTCATTGTCCTATGTTTTTATAAGATAAAAACACCTATGCCTAAGGACAGACACAAGCAAAAAGAACTGGAATCCCTATATATTATAAAAGACTTTAAGAGTTTAGTCTGGATGTTCCTGAAAAGACAAAATATTTGACTAATTTTTATTTTTGTTGGGGAGAATTCAACATATTGTGTGTCCTAAAGTCTATCCAGGCACAAAAAGCAACACTCAAGTTGTAACCCCACATTTATTTAAATGTGTTGTTTCAATGTTTTTGTCCTGCCCCTGCATTACGTGTGTAGGTGCTCAAGTGTATCACTGCTTTGAATGAAAACCCTGCTGTTCATGGATTTATAGTACAGCTACCTCTGGATTCTAATAAACCAATCAATACAGAGAAAATCACTAATGCCGTTGCACCTGAAAAGGATGTGGATGGGTAAGTTGATTTCACAGTTGGGATATAATTTGTTTTCTAAGTGGATTGAATCGATAGCTTCTTTTTTACTTCTTTTTAGAGAAAAAACTTTATTAGTATTTTGGCAGCCATACAACCATTTCCCCCATTAATGTAGCTTTAAAATCTTTGTCCTGGAGCATGCTTTGTCTTGTCTTTTTTTTTTTTTTTAATTCAAACGCTTCAGGTTAAGTAGCATCAATGCTGGGAAACTCTCCAGAGGAGACCTTGGGGACTGCTTCATTCCTTGTACGCCTAAAGGGTGCATGGAGCTTATCAGGCAGACTGGTAAGGAATTAACCTATCTTTTGAGGACTAATGGCTCTTCTTGGTTCTCATTATTCAGGAGCGCACTGTGTGTCAGTCCCCTGATGAGGAGGAAAAATTATGTTCAGCAGACCATACATTACAGCCTCTTTTAAAAGCTTTAATGTTCATTGAGGTGCCACCAACTTCTCGCCATTCCAGATAGGAAAGAAGGCCTATTAAAATGTATCCTTAGCTCTCAGCTGCTTGCTCTTCAAAGCCCCAGCATATACAGTTTTTGTTTTCTAGAGCTAACTGTGGCTTCCTAAAAATGGCTCAATAACAACTCGTATATGAATTACTTTTCCCTGGAACGTCTCTGATTTTGTGGGGGCATTTTAACCTACAAACTGGATTTTCTGTTGCAGGTGTCCAAATAGCAGGTAAAAGAGCAGTGGTGATTGGCCGTAGTAAAATTGTTGGTGCACCAATGCATGACCTGCTGCTTTGGAACCATGCCACTGTAACCACTTGCCACTCAAAGACTTCAGCACTGGCCGAGGAGGTAAGCATATACCTTGTTCTTTCAGGGAGTGGTGTGTCTTTGCTTGAAAGCCCACTTGTCGAAAGTGGAGACTACTTCAGAGGCCTCTTTTGGAAGTTAATCAGAACTTCTAAAGTTGTTCATGAAGAGGAACTGAAGCTGTTTTTCTTTTCAGCAGTATGAGTTTAAAAAATAGGTTATTGCTTAACTGCCACCTACTCAGATTTTTTTGAGAAAATGGAAGTATTTCAGCAATCAAAGCTGCTAAATCTCTACAGGCAGATAACCAGGATGGAGAAGGAGTAGATGCATGTGAATGTAACAGAGTTGCAAAACCAGGAGAACTCCATGCTGCTGTAATGTAGAAGCTGGGAGTCCACATGGCATTTAGAATGTAACACTAACTATCTTGTCCAGCTGTCCTTAAGCTTGATAACAGTTTACTTGCAAAGGGAAACGATTCTTTCCTGTGAATTACAAATAAATTAAAAAAGAAAGAAAAATCACTAATTAAATTCTTCCTGTGCAGAATTAGATGGAGCAAAGCTAACACTAAAAATAACTGCTACAATGGATTGCAACTTTAAAAATGGAGTTGTAACTTGACCTGCCTGATTTCTCAATGCTAGCCAAACTAGCATTAGTGTTGATTTATGTTGGCATTTCTATGGAACTCTGTGTCACGGCCTCATGGTTAAAAGAATTATGAAAAGAACAAAACTCATGAGCAGAAATTATTTAACCCACACGGCTATGTTGCTAAAGTGCAGCTAGCAGGCAAGGAGACTCTGGGAGAGGAAAGCTTATGGTAAAATGCAAGTGTCAAACCTTGTGTAATGCATAGGGCTCTGGATAGAGTCCAAAACTTGGCTTTTCCTCCTAGCTCTGCCATGGACCTGATGCGTGAATTGGGACAAGTTGCATTCCCGCTCTGACTGAATGTACATTAGCTTTGCTGCAGAGCTAGTCCAATAGAGCCCCTGGTGGATACTCAGCTAATATCAGAAAAGAAGCTCCTTTTGTCAGTACACTTGAGCCACCTCCTGGAACAGTATAAGCTAGTGGGAGCCAACCTTTTTGGCAGGCATGCCATAAATTAGTCCCACACCCTCCATGAGTGCCACTCCAATCCCTTTCCCCTGTCCAATCTGCTGCTCTGCTTTCTGTTTTCTGCCTTGTGCTTCCTCTCCAAGCAACTACTCTGCTTTCTGCTTCCTTCTCTGTGCTCCCTGCCCAGTGTGCAGGTCTGTCTGCTGCCCTCTCTGCCACTGTGCTGCTTACCTGTTCCATGATCTGCTGTGTGCCTCCTACAGAAGCTGTCAGTGTTGCTTATGGCATATGTATTGCAGATTGACCACTCCTGGCATAAACCTTAATACAGTGCTGGCAAAAGGACACTTGCCAGTGTATGTTGTATTGGCACTAGTGGGCTTTCTTGGTATAGTTAGGTTGATTAGAGGTGTGACTCCTCCACTTTCATACACAACATAGCTCTACTGACTTTAGTACAGACCTGATTTCTTTTTCCTTCTCTTCCCTTTCTGTCTTCTGATGGTAAACTCCCCAAGGAAGGGGCTCCGTCACCATACGCATTTGGGCAGAGCTTCTAGGAACTCTTGTAGTGCTTGTAATAGCAATTGATTCAATTGTGACAGCCTGCAGTAATGAAGAGCAATGAATATAAAGAAACACAAGCCTCAGGAGGCTGGAGAGTGACCTTCCTATGGCCCCAATTCAACTTAATGCCTCTGAATTCATAATCCCGATGCTTTCGGTCCGAAGCTGTCCTAGAAAAAACCATGCCCAAGCCAAGGGTTGAAGGGTTAAGGGACTTCCATTTTGTGTTGCTGGGTCTGTTCCTTTAATGGACCATTTTGAAAATGCAAATGAATGGAAGCAAAGAAACAAATAAAACAACTTTTTATTTGCATCTGCTGTACTGACACAGAGCTATTCTTCTAGGTCAGTAAAGCTGATATCCTAGTGGTGGCAGCTGGCAAAGCTGAAATGGTAAAAGGTGAATGGATCAAACCCGGTGCTGTTGTAATAGACTGTGGAATCAACCATATACCAGGTAAGTATATGGAGGTTTGGTTTGGTTTGGTTTGGTTTGTACATACAGGGCACATCTAGATGAGCGCACATGTGCCTCTTGCCCCATCTCAAACCCCTTTGAGATGGGGCAAGAGGTATGTGCGGGAACGAAAAAATGTTCCCCGCACTGCAAACTTGCAGCACGGGGAGAAAATTAGACCCCTAGATATCCAGGGATCTAAAAAAAACAGTTAAAAAAAGTGGGACAGGGCACAGTCCCGGACCGTACCCAGAGGCAACTGGAGGCTGGATCCTCCACAGAGACGCTCTGGCTGCCAGAACGTCTCTGCGGCTGGCCCCTCGCCCTGGTGCTGAAGCACATGGCCTGCCCGTGTAGGACAGGCAGCTGCTTTAGCACCAAGGCTCCAGTGCTGGTAAGTAAGGGGTCGGGGGGCTGGAGGAAGGGGGAGGGGACCATGGGGGGTGATGGACCCCCGC